AGAGTCAGCATATCGCCCCCACAGTCTGGGTCCTCATTTCACCCACCTCGGAAGGATGGAAGGCTGAGTCAACCTTGAGCCGGTGAGATTAGAATAGTTGAACTGCAGATAACAGTCAACTGAATTGGCCTGCACCCTAACCACTGCGCCACCTCGGCTTTTATTCACCTGAAAACAGATTGTCCTGAGACAAAGCCAGCTTCTTCCTCTATTGACAATCATGAATGACAGCTAATCATTATGTTCTATGAAGATACCTTATGCCAGTCAAAGGTCATCCTCTGCCACTCTCACACCCTTAATTTGCACGCAAGTAGGAGTTCAACAAGGATTATCCCTGCCCCCTCTCATTTCATTCCTATGTTAATGGTGTTATATGGACCATTTCCAAACATGAATCTCTTATTTCCATTAAAGCACGTTTCTGTGCTTCTTTATACATTTTTCTTGGACCAAGGATGGCTTTTTTTTATTCCCTGCGCTGTTCATCAAATACTCTCTGAATGAGGATTTGGAAAGAAATAATCCCAAGATGAACGTGTTCCTTTTCACTGAGAAGCAACAGCAGCAGAAATAGTAAAGCGGTGATTTTCAAATTGAGCAAGTAAAAGCTGTCCCAGTATTCAAGTATTTTCTTGCAGCCCTTCTTCCGGCGCACATGGGACTCATGAGGCAAGAGCCCTGGTTCAAAAGGCTGCAGATGCAATTAGAACATTTGCCAGTGTGGATGCTTCAGTTCCTGCGGCAAAGTAATGCTAAGTTTTGAGGTTTGGGTGTTCAGTTTTGCATTGATTCTGACCTCTCTCACTCTGAAATGATGAGGTTTAAATATATTAAGATTCCATTGTAATTGCTTTGTTCTATTTCCAATACTTTGGATAGGATTAAAAGAATATGCCACCTTTAAGCATTGACTGAGACAATACTTTTAGGGTGTTTGGCTGGCTCAGCTGATTTTTGATACTGATTTATTTCTGCTTGGGGAAAACAAAACTTTAGCCATTTTTTTCTTTTAGCAATAGCAGTTAGACTTATATACCGCTTCATAGGGCTTTCAGCCCTCTCTAAGCAGTTTACAGAGTCAGCATATCGCCCCCACAGTCTGGGTCCTCATTTCACCCACCTCGGAAGGATGGAAGGCTGAGTCAACCCTGAGCCCGTGAGAGATTTGAACAGCCGAACTGCAGATAACAGTCAGCTGAAGTGGCCTGCACACTGCGCCACCTCGGCTCTTTGTGGCATTTCTTCTTCCGTTTTAATTTATATCTTGGTAGAGCAGTGATAACGAATCTTTTTATAAAGGCATGCCAAAATTGTGCACGCGCACGCTATCGCACATGTGTGCGTGCCCACAACCACATTGCAATGTGCCCCGCCCACCTGTGCATGTGTGCGTGATCCCACCCCCCGCACATGTGTGCACGATCGGAGGCTTTCCTGGTGAGGGCGAAAAACAGGTCCATCGGGCCAACTGGAAGTGGTCCATTGGGCTTGTTTTTTGCCCTCCTCAGGCTCCGGAGGCTTTCCTGAAGCCAGGGGAGGGCAAAAACGTCCTCCCCCCGCTTTACGGAAGGCTGAAAATAAGCTGGCTGGCATGCGCATGCGCGCCGGAGCTGATGGCTCAGTGCTGGCAAATATGGCTCCGCGTGCCATAGGTTCGCCATCACGGTGATAGAGCAATGGATGTTACAATATGAATAAAGAGAATGAGTTTTATATGATGTATTATAATGTCTGATATATTATAATGGATGTATTAAAGAAGTATAGGAATAATTCGATGCAGCTTACATTTTAGTATTAACAACAATAACAAAAATAGATAAGCAACCTAAATAAATGATAATAATATGTGGTAATATATTGAAGGGGTGATTGCAAACAAAACTCGCTCACAATTATAAGACAAAAATCCAATACCAGGTAGCAGATCATACTCTACTCCAGAGTCTCCCGGGAAGAGCCAGGATTTTAGATCTTTACAAAAGCATAAGTGGGTCAGGCTTGTATGCTCGTGAGGAAAGTACCGTTTCATAGCATCTTAAAGCCCAGAGAGAGAGGTTATTGCCTAGATCAGGAATGTTAAACTCAAGGCCCTTGAGCCGGATCCGGCCCATCGGGTGCTTAGATGTGGCCTACAGGCCCACCCTGGAAACAATGAAGGACCGGTCCTTGGTGCCTCTGCCAGCGAAAACAGCAGAGAGGGCTTTGTTTTCGGCCATGACGGCCTTTTGCAAACCTCAGCCAGTGAAAACAGAGCTTTGAGAGGCCCCTCCCCTTCCGGGCTCCATTTTCCCTGGCAGAGGGCTGAAGGAGGACCTTGCCGCTGAAAATGGAGCCTCAATGAGTGACATTGAGCTGGCCATGCCCTCTGGCACGCGTAGAAGCGTTGTGCCAGTAGTAAAAAATCTTACCCACTGCCCCTGGCCATGTTCACTCCCCCCCCTCCCCGAGTTCAAACACAACCCTGATGCGGCCTTCAATGAAATCGAGTTTGACACCCTTGGCCTAGATCCTCACAAGAGACATTGATTTACAGTTTGCACCTGGACTCTCTCAACTCAGGCAAATGTTACTATCTGAGAACAGGAGAAAGTTGATCCTATAGGCATACAGGTCTGAAGTTATGAAGGGCTTTGTAAGTGACAACCAACTTCTTGAAATGCATCTTGAAGGTCATCAGTAACCAATGCAGCCCACAAAGTAATAAACCTGGGCAAAATGGATATTTCCTGTAACTATTCCCACAACTGCATTCTGGACCAGCTGTAACTTCTGCATGATTTTCAAGGCTAGTCCCATATAAGAGTATAGAAGCAGTCCAGACAGGAGTTAACTAAAGCACAAGTGACTGTATGAAGGGCGTTCCAATCCAGGAAATTGGAATCCAATGTTCACTATTGGAACATAAGATGGAGCCAGACAAAGACCACCATAGTCACAACTGTCAGTTGTTCATCGAGCATGAGCCAAAAACCATGGAGGAACTTAAAATTATGCAAATTTTCCTCTGGGACACTACAACCACACCATATCGTAAAAGTGGCAAATCTCTGTAAATGGACATTGGAGG